ACACTAGTCCTTCCTCAGTGGCGAGTGAGTGAGGGTAGAAAAAGCTAGATGGTATAAAGTGAGAATTTCATGCAAGCATGATTGGAAACAACAGGCTGGATGAGATTAGAATAAACAGCCTAAACAAGTAAACAGGAAGGCCAAAACTAAACTTTAGAGGCAAGCCTCAATAAATAAGCCAAATGATTTATCCAGAAAAAATCTAAGTGATTCTACTTTTTACTTTATTACATATAAAGTACATTACCTCAACCAACCTAAGTTTTTCTTTTCATCAAAGTCACTGTGCCTTGTAATAGCACACCAGATAGATGACGCATTAAAAGTGTTTTTTTAAATTATTATTATTCATTACGGTGTACCCCCTTTGAATTACACAAAAAATATTTTTGCAAGCAGCATTGAAAGAGCTAGCAATTAGAAAGGCATAATATTCTTTCAAAGGATAATTTACCACTTGGAAAATAGAGTAGGTTTTAGTATGCATTGTGGAGGATGCTGGCAGAAATAATTACATGCTTAATAACAAGAAATTAACATGTAATCAAAGGAGGAAACATAGATATGGTAATATCCAATATCCTTAACTTCATGTACTTTTTGCAGTTAAATTTATTAGGCTTTTGTTGGTTTTTACTTACACAATATCTGATTACACTACACTTTGTATCATATGATGTTCAACTGATTGTTTAATTTGAATTTTGATTAAATTTATTGTATCATATTGTACATTTCATTGTTTGGGTTTTACATCAGCTTTCTGGAGAGTCAATGCTTTGAGCTCTATTTTTAGATTGGATGGAATATATCCTCATTATTATTATTATGATCATTACAATGCATCTTCAAAATATATGTCGCATACAATTTCTTCAAAATATCTCGCATACACTAATAGTTCTTTTCTATATCATGTAAGATATATAAAATAAAAAAGTAAGAATTTAATAACCTTATTTGATGGTAGTTGAAGTTCTTCTAAAGACTTAGTAACAATCTTCTCTGTTTTTCCTGAGGCAAATGTCCTGGTTAAACTCTTCACTGGGATTTTTCCGTTCGGGTTTACTTGGAAATGGATTCTCATCCAACTGAAAAAATTGGAAAATTAAAAAACTTGTCAAAATCAAACCACAGATTTGTAATCAACTGGTTTGATAATGATAACCTTGATGTGACATTTATTGTCTACCAAATTATGATTGACTGCAAATAATATATTAAAAATAAGTAAAAATCAGTAATCTTATATAAAAGTACACTGGCAGGGCAATGAAATAAACAATTTGAATAATTCATGAGTACCTTGAACTTTTAAACAAAACTATTGCTACCAAATGTAAATTCAGTTTCATCTCATCTTTAAATATTATACTGTACTAAAATACTTTCAGTACAGGTAAGTTCATGACCTTTAAAAAAGGTCAACTGTTGATTGGCAGTTCAAGGTTTGTTAATACATCATACCCAATCACCGGATAGGCACTCTGGATGTTTGTATTTAACTGGGATTACGACAAGGAAATGCAGATTACAGAAAAGAAACATTATATTGACCACAGGAAGATAAATGCGGGCTCAATGAAAAAAATATGTAGGAATGGCATATACTGGCATAGCGTAACTATGGCAAACTACATATACACTTACTGTTTCATCAAACTTGTCATTGGACATACATTACTGGCCTTGAAATTATGAGTGATTGACTGCAGACCATCAACCCATGCCTGCGGGAGAAAAAAAAATCACTCAACTTCAATTGTTTTGTCTAATTCTTATGGATTTGTTGACCTCACAGAGATTGATAATGCTACAAGAATCCTTAAATTGGTTACCAGTGAATTAAGGCATCTATGCAAAGATTATAAGGATGCAATTATGTACGCATCTGTTAAGAGTGTATAACAACTGAACTCAGTCCAAATGGTCAGCTCAGTCGGTAGTGTAGTTACCAAAAGGTCTTGGGTTCGAATCCCAATGGGACATACATTTTTCTAAAAAATTTAATATTAATTAATTGGACAAAGAAAATATTTTCTTAAATTACTAAAAGATATACAAGATAAAGTAGTTAATGAAAAGGTTGTGGGTTCGAATCCTGATGGGATATACATTTTTATCCAATACTAAATATCATCTATTCGTTGGATACAGAACATTTTTTTATTCTAATTTTTTATATCTAGAAGTTACTTCAAATGCATGTACTGTACTTAATTATATTTTTTCATGTTTTCTTTAAGCATGTTTAATAAACCATAATTATACTACTAAGATGGGTAATGGAGCATGTTACTTAATTGAGTTCGCACAATTTGAAATGTTGACTCGAAGTAAACAGACAGTAAATTAAAATCAACATTGTTTCACTATGTAATTAATGGCCAGTATAAAGGCTTGTATGTGCTGTCCAGCTGAAGAGAGTTTGCCAAATACTAGGTCTCCATTGCAGCGATAACAACCAATCAATATACAGTAAACACTTTTATCGCAGTGTTATTGATGCTATAATCATCTTTTGTTTCTCGTAACTACAGTATTTTGTTTATACTTATGTTTTTGCCCAATGGCCATTAGATTAGGGGACTTGGTGGTTACTTCCCTTTCTTATTTGATTTGTTTTTTTTTCTCGTTTAAATACTCATTTCATTTAGTTTAATATTAAGATATGTGTAATATGATATGGCAGCCTTTTGGAATATGTGATAGGGGCTAGGATAAGGGAAAGAGAGAGGAAAGAAGAGAATTAACAGATAGATGATATCCAGAAGAACGTAAGAAGGTATTACAAGATAAAGAGGGATGCAGAGAATAAAAAGAACACAATGATAATTTTCTTTTGTATACCAGTTTTAGGTGACCTTCATTATGGATAAAAAGCCACCACAATATATACATACTTTAATGTATTTTTATTTGTGTTTCCTTATAACTAAGCATGGCTGGCCAAAGATGGTCAGCTTGTGGTTAAAACTCTTTGACCACACGGTTCAGAAAGTAAATCCTTGCTGAGCTACTGGAGGCTCATATGGGCTGGGGCTTATCCCTACTTTCAAAGCAGCATGAAGAGGATGAGAGCACGATGCTCCCCCTGGGTGGGACGCTGGTCCACCGCAGTTTACTCCCAGAAATTTGCTGGTAGTGAATCTTGGCAGTTTAATCTGAACCTGTCCTTTACGATTGGGAATTTTAAAGTTACAATATCATCTAAATCTTCTTTAATTTCTGTATCTGAAAAACCTTGACCTGGATTTGATGTGTCTTCTTTTTACTTGAGATTGAATAAAGATGATTTGCCCCCAAAATATCCTTTTTTATTTATTTATTTTTCGTCACTCCTTTTTTTCCCCCTTAATTTAATTTCCTCTTTTATATTTTATTATTTTCCTTTTCTGATTTCCTTTATAATTTAATTTACTCCTATATTTTCATCTTCTATGCTGCCGACAATTGTCTTTCACTGTTTCTACATCATGAAATGTAACAGCAGAATAAATAATCAGACAATTAGTAACATAGCGGATTCAGGTGATGATGATAACATAGCCAACACAATATCATTACTTGCAAAATCGATATGCATACTCGGCTAATGTTTCCTACAATGTTATGATTGAGTGATACTATTAACATAGTATTAAGGCTAACAATACTTTTGAGAATATTACTTAACGAAATGTAATTGGATTTATATAGTCCTTTATTCCAAATTGTCAAAATGCTCGAGGCATGGACTAGTTCACACAGTAACTGAAATGATTGGTTATTTTGATGGGAATGATTACCTTAACATTTGGCTAACAAAATACTTCCATAGAATTTTAATGTAAATTTCATAATAGTTGATTATTTTATGTTATGCACCTTTTGTCAGATTTGCTCAATTTTAAGATTCTGTTAGACAATCTTTGTGCTGATTCAATACTGCTTAAAAAAATCCTTACAAATTGCAGTTCCGTAACCGTGCAAGTGAATCTTGGCAGTTTAAGCTGAAACTGTCCTTTACGATTGGGAATTTTAAAGCTACAATATCATCTTAATCTTCTTCATTTTCATGTTAAGGACAACTGAAGTCTGCATCACCAAGGGTAATTGAATACCCATAGGTTGTGATAATATTTAAAATGACACATTTTATTGCCATTGTTAAAAATCACCTTGAGAAATTTATTTCATGCGTTTACGTCAATTTGCACATAACATTTACATTTATTATTAATATAAACATTTTTTAGTGACCTGAATTTTGTATTATTTTTTTTTCAGGACAAGACATAGGAGTATCTCTTGATCTATCAAATGTTACAACACACTGCATAGTAGTGTAAAAAAAACCCCTCATTGTATACACATTAAATATCAACATTGAAATTTCATAATTTAAATATGATAAAAAATAACTTTCAAAGAAAGCAGTTAAAAAAATTTTTTTTTACTGATTTAAATATTTTTACTACAAAAAACGTTAGGTGGAATACCATACAATTTAACATTATATATGCGAAGAATATAGGATTGGTTTTTATACATCCATAAATTGGCTAGAAATTTTCACATTCTAATCATCAATTTAAATATGCCATTAAAATATCTTGAAGGAAAAAACTTAGTCTTATCTCTTTTTTAAATGAAGCACTTCTATATTTTCTATCACAAAAGTAAAATGTTGCGACTTTTATTTAGAGATGGTCGCAGACAAGAAACTAATATTTTTCACTACCACATTGTACACGTTTAAGCTTAAAACAGACAAGCAAGCGTCAGCTGGTCCCTCAATATATAATGACCCAATGATAAATATAAATGCATATATTCATAAACGATGCACGGTTTTGTGTTCATTAATCTAGAAATTTAAAAGAGAAATAATGTAATTAACCAATAAGAACATAGCTTTAACTTCAAAGACGAATATGCTAATTTATAGCAAGTTAATCGACATCTGCATAAAGCAATTTTTCATAATCAGTATAATGGTAACATTGCCCTCCATGTCTGCAGCATCCTCATCCAGGGTAGTAATAATGGGTTGCTAGTCTGTAGCTTCCTCATCCAGGGTAGGAATATTGCTTTGCAAATTTGCAGCTTTCTTATCCAGGGTAGTAATATTACCTTGCAAGTCTGCAGCTTGCTCATCCAGCTTCTAATATTAAAGAGCAGGAATACAGCCTTACGGCATCATCCTCTCAACACGTAATTCATGGTAGGACATTGAAAGATTATGCCTTGGATTCTATGGAACACTGCGTCAGGGTCCAGGGTAATAATCGGACAGCACTGATTAGATACCATATAATGATTAGATAGTATAGTAGTGCCACTAGGCCAAAGATTTGCAGCAAGTATAATGAGGTTAACAAGTGGGAAACAATGGGTTAGGGTGCTGATCCAAGGCAGTATGTAGCAATGATAATACCATTTCACAAATAGGTGAAATAAACCAAAATAAGACAAAAAGAAAATGCTTTGTAGATATCTAATCCTTTGACTCAATACATATTGCCGGGATTGGATATGGATTCTTTTAACCTGTGCATAAAAAGGCTTGCCAGATTGGAAAAGATAAGTATCTATGAAAATTCCTCTAATATTGCTAGAATATAAGAAAGTAGCAAGCACCCATGAATACGCCCACACCTTAGTAGGTAGTGCACATACGCCCCTTCAAAAAGTTCCTCGCAATTAGACGCCCCCAAAAAATCATGGTCAATTTGTTAAAAAGCACCTAAAATCACCTTATTTTGCAAATTAGCATTCCCTCAACTGATCATTGAGCCCCTCCCCCACTTCACCTTCATGCCCCCATTAGCACCCCACTTCAAGAATCCTAGATAGGGCACTGCACCTTAGCCTTATATAGCTTAGCTGGTGGAGCATCAAAAAATATTTGGAGGGTCTAAGGTTCAAATCCTGGAGACAATACATTTTTCTCAATTATCATCTTTACGGGAAAATCTAAGCGAGCATATCTACCTAATAGCCTTATAGCTTATTTGGTAAAAAAATTAAATGGTCATTGGAGGGTCTTTGGCTCAATCCTTATATGGGAATAGGTCTCTAACAAAATGTATTTTGATTGACGCTTTTGTGAAGGTAATCATGGGTATACCTTACCACTACAATACTGTTAGCCAGCCATGGATATACCATATACATTGCAACAGTGAAAAAAGAGAATGTGCCATGGAAATTACAACTACAGTATATCATAGCTTTTGCAACCATGAATACCCCACATTTATAAAGAAGACAACAATTGGTTGGCTATACCAGTACTTGGAATGCTGAGTGGCAGATAACCATGACTAGGTATACACTCTTGTAAATCCTTTATGATAAGAGGATATCTATCCCCTCTAATTATATCAGTACTAATGGTACTTGTGTCAACATGCATGGTATTCTATCCATATTAGGACAATACACAGTACCACATCCAATGGCCAAGAGATAGCATGCACTTTCCTACAGCAAGTAGCACTTTCCGTACAGCAAGTACTAAAACATATTATAAAACAGAACATTATATCAAATCATGACAGAACGCAGATTCGTGTATGACAGAACACAGATTTGTAATAACATGCACCAAAGAGATTACAATACTGATTCCCTCTCAATTTAAACTTTTTAAAAGTAATTAAATTAAATTATCAGAGCCTTTAAATGATCCATTATATAACATATGAGGGGGAAAAACAAACACTTAAACTGCTAATCTATTTTTCGTCTTTCACTCCATCAATTAGTCATCTTGTGACTATCCTCCCACCAGCGATAATCCGGTTGACTGTTACACATGCGATATGCTTTATCTAGCTCAGATGCTAACAGTGTTAAACTTCAGGTATCCATGCTTTAATTAACTTTCTCCTGGACATGTGTGGAGCACTGTTATCAAGGTTATTGCTAACAGTAGGGTGTAATTCTACGATAATTTAGAAACGTGATTGTGTTACTCAGTTTACAGATTAATAGATGGCCATACTGTAGACCGGTATCTTCCTCACTGGGACTAACTTTTCTTTTCAAATTTTTTTGATATAGTGCTTCATGATAAGTACACTATGCTTCCTTCTCAGGTAATTTGATGATGATGATGATGATGAAGATGATGATGATGGTGGCAGGAAAAAATGGAAGGAAAAAATATAACGATAATGTTGTTAATAAATATTTGAATAGTTTCACCTGGTTTGCTGTTAAACTTTAGAAATGTTTGATCGATAAACCAAGCTCAGTGGGTGTAGTAGATTTACATCCATTGTGCAAACAACTCCACAATGTTATTAATGATTACAGATTAATTATTAATCATAAGAATGATTAAAAGAATGGATTATTATGAATACTGGATGAGCATGATAATAAAGATGATGCAAAAGATGATGATATTAATGATAATGAGGTGGAAGAGGAAGGCAAGGATGGTGATTATCATCATAGTGAGGATGCTGAGGAGGTTAATGATCATAGTGGTTAGGATGGTAATGAGAATAAAGGTAAAGAAGATGATAATGTTAATAAGTTGAGGAAGGAAATGATGATGAATTTATTAATGAGATTAAAATGAAGATGATAAAATTGGTATTGAGATTAAGATGATGAAAATGATAATGATAATATTGATAAGATGATCGGATGTCAAAGGTGAAAATGTTGATGAGGGAGATAATGATGATAATGATGATATAATGATGAGGATGATAATGATGATGATAAAGTCAAGACTAATAACGAGTTTGATGATAATGATTACAAAATACCACTGGTATCATGAAGAAAGTCTTAAGTCCATACCTGAGCCGTGTATGCGTCTGATGCGGTCATCCGCATGTAGCTAATATTGACGAGATCCAGACCGCTGCATACTGTCACAGTTCTGTCATTCAAGTCCCCTTTGTGGTCTATCATCTTCTGTAGTTTATCATAGTAACTTGGGTCTTTCATATCCTGTGATAATAAAAAGTTAAATATAAATGTTTTAAATTAAATTATTTTTAAAAAATATACTTATTATAAACATTTTTTTAAATATATTTTTAATTTATATATTATCAACAATGAGATATCACTGTCAAGTTGAGGACTAATTGATTTCTAAAATATAAACAAAAACATAAACTCACCTCTTTCTTTTTTTAAAATCAAACTTATAATCCTGAACTAAAACTCACAGTTGTTGCAAGTATGACTATCATAACAAAATCAGATTCATAATGAAACGAGTTATTTCACATATATGTGCATGATGCCATATAACCCATGGCAAAATCACTGGTATTGAACAGACCTTACATGGGTTATCATTGGGAAACTGGGGGACTGGAGTTGCAGGCAGAACCTACTGTACATAAAAGTAACCCACATCAAGCACATTTTGGGAATGTACAATGACTCCGTCCCTATAACATGTGGTCTATGTTGTCCAACAGGCCCTACATATTAATAATCACATAACCTTCATTGCAGACTTTATGTTAATCTATTTATGGCAGACCCGACCTACATAATTGATGACTTTTTCATACAGAAAGCACCTACCATGACCAATCAGGCATGGTATTGATAGAGCCTACATAAAACAATTACCCCCTCCCATCGCCTAATCAAGCACATTGTAAGATGTACGGTAATACACTTATGTCTTTAGGACCTACATAAATGATGACTCCAGACCTAATCAGAAATGATACCATCTGTGACGACATCAGCAGATATGTCCACAATGACCCCGACATGGCTGCCTTAACCGAGTACTGATTGATTGATTGTTGCCGTGCGTATATGTACATTAAAACTGTATCATACTATAGCTGGATATTACACAGTTTATACCAGTCATTAAGAATCTGGCTTTATAGTACATCATCCATCAGCTATGACATTACCATGCCCATATATGGACAAGATGATAATATAATATTCATATTATAAGGACAAACCATATGAATTTGTCAGAGAAATTAATAGTGTGGATATCATCAATTTTCATCACCTTACTCCTACTAATCATTTACTTTGCTTCCATCGCCCACTGTCTATACCAACATCGTTACCATCATCATTTCAGACTTCTAATAAAAATTAATAACATGCTCTAAATGCTCTATACTCATTAATCTCCTGTTGATTTTGACTGTTTTTACATCCAGTTTACATTTTAGAAGAGTGATATAGTTTACACAATGCTTCTTCCCTGTGAACAAGGCTTCATCAGGTGTTGCACAAGGGGGAAAACCCCCAACAATTGGGACAACCCCCATCAATTGGGACAAATCTTGTGAAACTGAATCATATTATTGTGTAAAAAATGCTAGTGATGTAGCAAAGAGATGGTTGTAGATTACAAACGGCACTCAAATATCCTACAAGTTAAGCCGGAAGAAGACTTACTAACACCTAATCACTCAACATATTCTACTATTCTCAATTAGTAAATAAGCTCATACTCATGAGGTTTTTTTTTTGCGGTAATTATCTCATAAATTATGGATTAAACAACACTTCAGGTGAAGACCACGGACTAGGTAGGCTTAACTGTCTGGTGAAAACAGTTCATGCGAGAACTTCTAGCCCGCTACTTTAGCAAGGAGCTTGCACCAGCTAGGCTCAATTGCCTTGTCAAAACAGTTCATGTGAGAACTTCCAACCCGCTAATTTAGCAGAGAGCGTACACATGGTAAGCTCAACTGCCTGGTCAAAACAGTTCCTGTGAGAAATTTTCACATAATGCATTACCAGATAGTGTAAACTAGTAATAGCCTTACTACTTGACCATAATATTTCCCATGAGAATGTTTTGCCAGCTATTTCTCGAGAGATTGTCTAATAGCACATCTCACTGCTTGGTCAATGCAGGTCATACAAGAAATTTCGGCCCGCTAAGCTAAGAGCATACACAAGTTTGTACCATAGCCAACAACCTCTAGTCGGCTACTTTTGATAAATTTTCTTGGGGGTTGATATGATGACTATGACAGGTATCTTAGACAGATATGACTGTCAAAGGTGCTTTGTCTTAAAATCTAATTTAAAGTCTGCCTTCAATTTTGAAACACTGTGGATATAACTAGGACTATAAATTCTAGGGGTTAGAGGCTAATATGCAACGACTACGGGGAATGTTTTCTACAGTATGAGTGATGTCCACAGCTGCTGATACTAATATTCTACAGTAAGGCTTTACACTCCTCCCCACTCCCTTATATTAAACCTTTATGAAATATCTTCTCACCTAATTTTACCTCATTGATTCTAACATTATACATTCTAAATGCTGTATTATTTTTAAGTTTTAAGGATGTATTATAATTGTAACTGTTTCGTCTACTTAAAAGAGCAAAACAAAAAATTTTGATGATTATCTCACGGCCACTTCCCCGTAAGGTCTGGGACCCCCTGGCCTTAACCAGTGAGAGCTCATAGCTATTATGCCACTGTTCATATTCCTTTAATTCTCATTCTGTTTCTTCTCACACTGATACTCCCATACTTATTCCCATACTACTTACTTCTTTCCATACTTATTTCTCCTCTTCCCTCCCATACCTTCTCATTTATACATTGTCCTCCCTTGATTCTATACTCATACTCTTTTCAACACTCATTCTATTTCTTTCCACACTCATCCTTCCATTCTTATTCTTCTTTCCTACTTTTCCCCCATAACCATCTTCCTTTCGTCTATTCGTCCTCCTCTTCCTTCATATACATGTCCCTTCTTCATTCTCAAATGCATTTTTCCTTCTACATACCTTCTTCCTTTCCTCACTCATTATTCTTTTTCACATATTTACCCTCCTCCTTATACCATTTTCTTCTCATCTACCTTATACCATATTCTTCTCATCCACCTTATACCATATTCTTCTCATCCTTCTTATAACATATTCTTCTCATCCTCACAATTTCACACAGTCATCCTCTTTTCCAGATTTATTCTCTTTCTCAAATTCAAAATCCTTTCTCGTTCATTACTGTTAATCGGTGTCATGTCACCATATTTAAACCTAATCTAATTATTTATTTATTCAGGCACCCAGCAGTAACAACAGTAATTGGTTGTTATAAAATATACGGTATATAATATCTCCATAGTGAGGAAGATGATCGTGGCATGACTTTCCCTTTGATAGAATAATCAGAAAGACGAGTTTTAAAATGTAAACAAGAAACTGACTATAATAATCCAATCAAAACAAGCCATTAATTGCAATAAAAAAAAAAGAGAATTAAAGAAATAAATGTTTAAGGCCTAAATAAATAATTGTGATGTTGTAATCTGACACCACTAACTTAGCAATAAATTGTATAAGACCTTTTTAAAGCCGACTACACAGGTTGGGCATAAATACAGTAATTGGAAGACTCCCCTAAGTGTGTACCATGCACGAACCCTTGAACTAAATTGAGCATTGTGTTCATTTTCCGCCAAATTGACACCATGTCTAGCACTCAGTTTGATCAATGCAACTGTTAATATGAAATGGACGTGTTAAGGGAGACTAACTAATTAATAAAGAATTTTCCACTAAAGTACAAATATAGCATTGTCCATTTAATTATGATTTTGTACAACATCATGTCCACAATGTTTTAATCAAATTTTATCAGGATTTCATGACGTTCGCTGGGTAAAAGCACTGAGGAAGCAACGCATACGTACATAACATAGATGGCAGTTTTAAAATATTAAATATAAGAAACGTTCTCCAACACTATTTAACATGAGATAGTGAAGACATGCTCGGTAAAGGCTATGCTTTTTTCCTGCGTCACTCACTAAGATTTTTATAATCTAGTACCCAGTAAAGGTCACGTTACTCCAGTCAAAGATTACGTGTATTAACAGGCGCATAAATAATAACGTTTCTATTCTTCTGCGTCAACCCTTAAATTGGCTGGTAATCAATTTACGGATTTTCAGACTGAAGCATCTGCACATCAGTAAAATTTAATCATTAGATTTTTTGTATAATTGGAAATTGACAACTTATTGGCTCCTTTAAATGAACATTGAATTTTAAGGTTTTGCATTTTTTTTTACCACATTTATATAGGGTAAACTTATCCTACAAGGTTGGGTGATATTTAGAGCCCTCTTAAATACATACAATGATGTGATGCTTTATAAACTAAGTCTCATTACCAGTTTTAGTCATGAGAAAAAGTACTATGCTGTCAAGATTTGAACACAGGACCCTGGATTTAGAAGACAAGCATCTTAGCCACCAAGTTACATCTCCATAGAATATGTTATAAGAAGGATGAGAAGAATACTTTATAAGAAGGATGAGAAGAATATGTTATAAGACCGATGAGAAAAATATGTTATACTGATGAGAATTCTATGAAGAATATGTTATAAGAAGAATGAGAAGAATATGTTATAAGAATGATGAGAAGAATATGCTATAAGAAGGATGAGAAGGATATGTTATAAGAACAATGAGGAGAGTATGTTATAAGCATAATTATTTTTTATGAACGCACCATCACTATGCTACGCGTGATGCAAGTGGAAAGGCGTAGTTTTCACAAATATAATATTATTATATCTTTAATATTTTATGTAAATTTACTTTGAAAAACAGTGGATAAGTACTAAAATGCTTGCAAAATAAAGAATAAATAAATCAAACTTGACCATTAGAGACGTTTTTACGTTGAGCAGACGCATATAAATTGCATGCGTATGCGTCCATAAATAGATGACCCCTATAGACGGCCGTTATTCAACAACTTTTCATGTCAATTAGACGTATGGAGGTAGTAAGCATCCACAGATACTGTGTGATTCCAAACGCAATATTACCGTAGTGCATGACACGAAGAATTTTAAGTTCACGATTTTCTAGATCCACCATGACGTTAAGTAGTTTTTGCTCGCTTTAAATAAGTACAGGTGAAACTACGTCTTAGCTCTACCGTTCATCATAAAATCCAGAAAA